TGCCTGCAACCAAGGTACATGCCCTTGACTGGTATCGAACCGAGAGAGTTAGAAACATTGATGAGAGAGAAACATCAACCAGCTGCCTCCTGCACCCGCCTCCCTCCTCCCCCACACTGGGGATGTGCCCGCAACCAAGGTACATACCCTTGACCGGAATCGAACCCGTGACACTTCAGTCCACAGGCTGACGCTCTATCCACTGAGTCAAATGGGTGCTGGCTTTATTTTTCAACTACAATAACTAAAATACAGGTTGCTATTGGGAAAAGGATAAAAACTAGACAAATGGAACAGAACAGAGAGTTCACAGGCAGACGAACATTTGATTTATGGCAAAGTTGATAGTGCAATGTGGTGGAGAAAGAATTATCTAATAAGTACGTGGGTGAATAGGGCATCTGTGTGGAAAAAAAATATTATGAGCCCTACCTTCTATCATATACAAAATATCAGTTCCAGATGCACTATACACCTAAATGTGAAAGGTAAGATATATATCAAAATTCTAGAGAATATGGGACAATCTATTCTTTATCCTGAGGTAGGCAAAAGTTTATTGAACAGGATATATAAAGCATCAACTATAAAGGAAAACTTTGATAAATTGGAATCTATTAAAATTAAGAGCTTCTCTTAAAAAAGACAATAATAAGAGAGTAAATAGCAAACTACAGAGTGAGTAGCCAATCCTCATTTTTCCTGGATTTCGCACTTGTGAATTTGCTTAATACCCTTTTTCACTTGCAACCCCAAAATCAATACCCCCAGTGCTTTCGTGGTCATATACAGACATGTGCAGAGTGGCAACATTTTGAGCCACTCAAAGTGCACATTCCCAGCTGAGGCCAAACAAAGTGACTCTACCTTCTTGTTTCAGCTCTCATAATGTAATGAAGTGTCCTTTTCCCAGGATATTTAGTTCATATTTTTTGCGTTTTGAGGGGGTTTTTGTTTTTTATTTTGCTGTTTCAAATGTCCCTGAAGCAGAGTGTCAAATTGCTGCTTACTGTTCAAAGTTCAAGAATGCTGTTCTGTGCATTACTTATAAAATGCATGTTAGACAAGCTTCATAGACATGAGTTATAGTACTATTGGTCCTGAGTTTAATGTTTCATTCTGTTTTTTAATCCTCACTGGATGATATTGAGAGAGAAAGATAGAGAGAAGAACATTGATGTAAGACAGAAACATTGATTGTGTGCCTCCTGTACGTGCCCAACAAGGAATCAAGCCTGCCACCTTTAGTGTACAGAATAATGCTCCAACTAACTGAGCCACGCTGCCAGGGTGGCCAAGAGTTTAATGATAATAGATCAACAATATATATCAAAAGAAATATATTTACACAGGAAACACATAGAATAATGTGATATATAAATCAGTTGACAAAAATGTTGTCCCCAGAGGCTTGTAGGAACCTAATCCTGTATTTCGTATAGGAGCAGTGGTTCATTATTCGTTAACTCCATCTTCATGATGACTTTATAGAACATAATTATTGCAAATAACAAGAATTCACTGTATGTAAAATACACAGGTTTTATAAAAACTCATTTTCCTAATATATAATAAAGTCTTATAAAACAATAAGAAAATAATAGGCATCCTAATATAAACATAGGCAAAACACTGTACAGATATTTCATGGAAATGAATATCCAAGTGATGAATGTCCTTATGGAACGGTGGACTCTAAAGTATATGCCTTATCTCTTCCCTGTCCCTCAGTTTCACTCAGAAAAATGATAATCTATAATTTGGATAATATAAAGTTATTTTAAAATAACGATTTGAGCTTGGTGGGTTTTTAATGCAAACATATTGTGCTACCTTTACAGCAGTATGTTCTATGAACAATGGGGGAGCCATGCCTAAGGGTCTTCACTCATGGATTTCCCCGCATTCCTTGGCTTGCTACAGTACTAACCCTAATTCACTGCCCAGCTAAAGTCTCAACTGATATGATGAAAGACTAACCATGTGACTATAATTATTCAGTCAATGAAATATCACTTGAGTTCTATAATCTATTTGCAGAGCTTAAAAAGTGTCTGAAATAATATTTGCTGAAATTCATATAATAATTAAATGTGTAGGGTTTTAATTCATGGTTTTAGTATTTTTCTAAGAAAACTAGAGGCCCGGTGCATGAAAATTCATGCACTGGAGGGGGTAGTCCTTCAGCCCAGCCTGCCCCCTCTCATAGTCCAGGAGCCCTCAGGAGTGGGAGGCAACCTGGCAATCAGGGGAAGGCAAAACCCCCATCACACCTCTGCTGCTGCCACTGCCAGCAGTGCAAGCCTTGGCTGGTCCTGGTTACCTGAGCCTTGGGCAGCCCTGGGCAGCTGGGCAGCTGACATCCAAGACTTGCCTGTGCCTTGGGCGTCAGCTGGCCAGCAGACATCTGAGGCTTGCCTGTACCTCGGGCCAGCCCTGGGTGGCTGGGGGGCTAAGGGCAGGTCCAGCCACACCTGTGGCTATGAGTGCCACCATCTTTGTGATAGTGTGATGGTCAAATTGCATATTCTTTCTTTATTAGATAGGATAATGGGAATTATAAAATTCAATTCTTGTGCAAAATCATAAATAAATAAATAAAGATTTTATCAAATTATACCCAGACAGGTTTGTCAGGTCCTCTTTTTTAAAATAGATTGCTCATTTCAAAGAGGAAAAAAGAGGGAGAGGGGGAGGGAGAGGAGGAAGGGGAAAGGGAGGGGGAGAGGGAGAAGGAGCGAAAGAGGGAGATGATGATGACAGGAATAATCAATTGACTGCCTCCTGCACCACCCCTACTGGGGATCAAGCCTGCAACCCCGGTATGTGCCCTGACCTGGCATCAAATTGTGACTTCCTGGTTCATCTGTCGACCACTCAACCACTGAGCCACTCTGGCTGAGTTGTCAGGGCCTCTTTGAAACTGCTATATGCTTTGCCATCGCTGGGCTTTTACTCATGGATTTCCCCACATTCCTCTGCTTGCTGCAGTACTAACCCTAACTCACGGCCCAGCTGAAAATGTTGCTACTCTTTGCTCTTTTCTGGTGTACCTAGGAGTAATTTCTTCTGCTTCTTAGCTTCCATTGTACATTTCAGACTTTTAGCCCTTTCCTTTCAGTTTGGCAAAATATACATAATTATTTATGTGTAATCCCTGTAGTTCCAATCTTACATAGAGACTTAAAACTAGAGAAGTATTCAATAAGTACATAACAATTTAAAGAAAAATTACTTGCTCTATAAAATAAGTTTTGCCCTTGCCAGTTTGGCTCACTGGATAGAGCGTCACCCTGGGGACTGAAGGGTCCCAGATTCGATTCCGGTCAAGGGCATGTACCTTGGTTGCAGGCACATGCCCAGTAGGGGGTGTGGAGGATGCAGCTGATCGATGCTTCTCTCTCATCAATGTTTCTAACTCTCTATCCCTCTCCCTTCCTCTCTGTAAAAAATCAATAAAATATGTTAAAAAAATAAAATAAAACGTTTTAATCATAGTTTTCTAGGGAATGAAAAATCTCCCAAAGAATATAGGGAATAAATAGAGCAAAAAACAAAGAAAATTCTTAACAACAAAAGAAAATAAGCAGTGCAAAGTAGACAAAAGTAGTATGTGTGATCAGGTAAAATAAGTTCCTTTTCATTGTACCTTTTCCCTCTACATCCATCTCTTCCTAGTTTCCCTGTTACTGGATTTCCTTGCTTGGCTTCCACCTTTCACTCTGCCTTTGATTTCTGAGTTCCTCTTTCCCCACTCACCTGGCCTCGGCTCATGCCAGTAAGAGCTAAGACTGACTGTGGCCATAGCCAGCCTCTGGATAGCTGTGCTTTCATCACTCACACCTTCCCTACCCCACACACTATGAAGTTTAGTGCCACGTGAGCTCCGAGAGCACCTGACCAGTGTGACATGAGACAAAAAAACAAAACAAAAAACATTTCCTGCCTACCTTTAATGAAGCAGCATTTCCTACCCCCTCCCCAGATTTTCATAGACAGTTGACTGAAAAACAATTTCACATACCACTGATGAAACTTTCTAATGTAAGGAAGTCAGTCGATTATTTACCGGTAAGAACAGTGTCTCTGAAAAACCATTAATCACTCAGAGCAATTTGAATCAAATTTCTTATATTTATCCCAATAGATTAATACTTTCATTTTCTGCACACATAAATAAACATATTATTGGAAGTTTAAGTTTTAAATTGGATGGGTCACTGGTCTGCTGGAATAGAAAGAGAATAAATAAATAACACAGCACCTCACGGAGTGCCTGAAGCAAAAGCTGATTAACGTTAGTGGATGATGATGTTTAAAGCAATATTTTCTTTCTCCTTGCTTTTGAGAGAATGCACCATCCTAATGCTCTGGAGACAGCTGTTTTTTCTCATGGCAACAGCTGGAGCTATGGTACCCTGTGGGCAGCATCAGATCACTTCATGGACCATGTATTTCCCAGGAGAGACTAGTTAGAGTCTCACTGCAAACAAAGGACACATCAAAGGAAATGACACAACAGGGCAAATAATCTAATGGAGCCATCCAACTTGTTTTAAGCCCAACCTCGGGAAAAATCCTGCCTTGCCTAAATTCTATCACACTGATAATATACACATCTGATTAAAGATCCATCCCCATCAGTGCCATAATTACAACCATCATCAAAGACCTGGAATGAATAGCAACAGAACCAGGGCCAGGTGGTGGGCTCAGGGGTCACACAGAGGATAAGACACACACCCAGCCTTCTTCCCTGGAGCTCCAGACCCACACTTCTTTTTTTTTAATATATGTTATTGATTTTTTACAGAGAGGAAAGGAGAGGGATAGAGAGTTAGAAACATCGATGAGAGAGAAACATCGATCAGCTGCCTCATGCACACTCCCCACTGGGGATGTGCCCGCAACCAAGGTACATGCCCTTGACTGGAATCAAACCTGGAACCCTTGAGTCTATAGGCCGATGCTCTATCTGCTGAGCCAAACTGGTTAGGGCGAGATCCACACTTCTGATCGCCTGCTGGGCAGTTGCCTCAGATGATCCTACAAGTACAAATGTGCAAAAATTTAACTTATCACGTCTAAAACAAACCTTTCTCTTTAAATTTCCATACAGCTTCTCTGCTTCCTATTCCATTCCTTTCCTTGTTAATGGCACCAGCATTCACCAAAGTAATCAAGGTACAAATGAAGGCATGATTAGATGCTTGCCCCACACCTCTCATTCACCAGCTTCTTTAGTTATGTCACCTAAGTAGTTCTTTATAACCAATTGCCACCTCCTTAGTCATTTCTTATTCAATTTACTGCAAATGTACCATGTGTTAACACATTCAGGCTGCTTTAACCTAAAGCAGGCTTAAATAACAAACATTTATCTCTCACAATTCTGGAGGCTCAGTAGTCCAAGATCAACCCCCCAGCAGATGCTGGTTTGGTGAAGACCCACTTTCTAGCTCATAGACATCATTTTACTGTGTCCTTCTATGGCAGGAAGGGTAAGAGAGCTCTTGGGTACAATTTATAAAGTCATAATCCCTTTCATGAGGGCTCCACCCTCAAGACCTAATTACCTCCTAATACCACCATCTTGGAATCTATGATTCCAACATATGAATTTGGGGGAGGACACAAACATTCATTCCACAGCATTCACCTTCATTCTCATCCTCCTGCAATCCATTTTTTATGCTGCGCCAAAAATTAATCCTTTCTATTGCTCACTTGCACAAACCATTGCATAACTTCCTTTGGCCTTAAAATAAAAATCCAAGCTCTTTAGCATAATAGACAAAACCCTTAATCATCTGAGTCAAAGACTTATCTCCTACTGATTGCCACCATTTTAAATCGTATGCTCTACTGGTACTGAACTACTTTCATTCTCCAAATGGGTCAGATATTACATGTTTCAGTCTTTTTCACATGCTTGCCATCTGCCAGAAATACAATTATCCTTTCCCTTTCCCTCCTCTTCACTAAGACACATCAATATATCGCTAGCTTATCACAGATGTCACACGTCCAAGGACCATTTCCTACACCTCTTCCTTCAGCCCTTCTACCTGTTCCTTTGGCCTTACTTCAGTGGTTGTTCTTATTCTACTCAGCTTGGAAAGAATGCCAGCCTCCTTATCTATATATTAAACTATTTAATGGAATCGGGGACCATGTCTTGGATATTTATCACTGGCACCTCACACAGTCCCTGAAGTGTAATAGGTACAGAATAAATATTTTAAACTGAGTGGAATTGAATTGATCTGAATTACAATCTTATGGCTAAGGGAGTGCATGCAAATAAAAGATTCAAATGCAAAGTGCCAAACAAGGGCTCATAGCTGCTCAAAAGAGTGAGTGGGCCAGGGGGAGTAGATGAGATAGGACATTTGATAGTATCAGTGTTGCATTCATGGGCTCTTATGTTCATTCATTTTGGCCTCCACAGAGATACTATAAGTGTGGAAGTGAATGATAACAAAATGCAGAGATAGTAGCAGCAGGCCCCCTCTTCTGATATGTAATGTGTTCTTTAAAGGACTTGGAAAGTCAGGCAACAGAGGTGTCAGTGTGTGCTTCTGTTGGGGACAGAAGGGGTAATTTTATTCCCACAAAGGTAGGAAAGTAGAACTTCTCACATTTATTTTTCTTGTCTTGTGACAATCACTGCTTCATCCCCCATCATGGAACATACAGATATAAACAAATAATTACTATCCCAATCTGAAGTACATTCCTGTGGGTCACTTTGCCAATATCCAGCATTAATCTAAGGACAATACATGGAAACTCATCTTGCATTATCTGCCCATGAGGGTGGACCGGAGACACTTCTGTCAGGTCCAAGAGTCAGCCCGTGAAACAAATGGCCACTTTTGTCCATAGAACATTAAGAGACACCTTTATGGCAGTTTTGGAAAAACATTTTGTCCCTTCTTTCAGCCTTCACGTTTTCAATAATGATGAGTTCCAATTGTGAACATCCTATTGCAAAATAAAGAATTTTAATTGTCAAAACAAAAAAAAAATGAATATTTACATTTCTGGTTTATTTACTTATTCTTTTAAAATATTTTTATTGCTTTAATAGAAGAAGAAAGAGAGAGCTAGAAACATCAATGATGAGATGCAGCCACACACTGGAGGCCGAGATCACAACCCAGGCAAGTGTCCTGACCAGGAATAGAACCATGACCTCCTGGTTCATAGGTCGATGCTCAACCATTGAGCTACGCCAGCCAGGCTATTTACTTATTCTTTAACCAGAAAGCTAAATACTGGATAGCCTCATGAAAAATTTGACACCTGTCAATCTATAGTGTTAGTTTGTTCAGGCACCACTTCTCTTTAAACTCAGGCAACCCTTTATCTAAGTAAAAATGTCACAGATGTCAACCAGAGTAGGAGAGTGCTCTAGCTATCCCAGAAAACTAGGGATTCTGAGTATCTTGCACAGACTCCCTGCCCTTCCTTCCCCTGATGGCTTCTAATCTTTGAACCTGTCTCAAGGGAGCTCACCAGTTCCTAGAATATAAGTGGGAACTGTCTTTCTTGGTCATAATGAATTGTTGGCTGGGGCCATAATGGCTGAATTTCCTACATGCTCTTGAATAAACAAATGAATGGCTGCCTGAGTGAAGGGCCCCAACTCTTTCTTCCCTTATCACAGGGCTGTGACTGGAAGAGGAGGTAGGAAGACATGAACCTTTTGTGAGGAGAGGAAGTTGCCTCTCACCAAAAGAAAACTGCTACAGAACACAACTTGTGATTAAGCCAGCTCCAGACTTACGGGTTTAATTTAGAGGCCATCACCTTTCAGAACTTGCCCATGTCCTCACTTTGTCTCCTGCACCCCTCAGAGCCAGGACTCAGCTTGGTTTAAACAAAACAAACAAACAAATAAACAAATATAACACAACACAACATTGCCCTGTTGACTGAAGCTCCGCTTTCCTCCCATAAAGAACTTCTCTTGCACAGAGCTCCGTTAGAAGGCCTGCAATGTTCATTCTTCCATGAGCCCTAATAACTAAATCCTGCAAAAGAAAGGTAGTATAAGTGTGTCAGTACCTTTGTATGAAGTGGGAAGTTGTGGAAAGTTGAAAGTGTGACAGCCACAGGCACTGTGCATACAGTTTTGTTGAGAAAATTTCCTCTAATTTGAAAAAAAAAAACAGTTGTGTCAGCCTTCCTGGGCATGGAAAGCCATTTCCTTTTCTGCCAGGAAATTCAGTCTTGTAGTTCTGACCTGAGGAGATGGTGTTATTTCTTTACTGAAGCTAGAACCTGCTTAGTGATTATTTGTTCACAGGAGGCCTTGCAAGATGATAGATATAGGAAAGAGTCACCATCCTATGCCCAAATACAACCCACTGTTCTAGTCTTGTTTAGACTACATAAAAAGTATATTCAATGGAAGAACACAGACATTTTTAGTCAACAGTTGAGTAGGGTCAAATATCTATGTTTCTCAGAAGGCCAGAGGGAGAGAGGAGAGGCCTGGGTCTAGGTGGGTAAAAGGGTTGGGGGGCATCTGTAATAGTGTAATAAATGAATACATTAATTAATACATTTTATCAGATAAAGAAACAAATGAAAAATATCAGGAATGCACACAAAAAAAATGGATTATTTACCCTGTCATCAGGAAGCAAACCACTATCTTGTTAAGTAAATGGTGCTTTCACAAATTATCCTATGAAGAGGTTCCTCATCTTTAAAGTATCTCCTTGAGGAACTGAGGACATGGGTTGTATTTTCTCCAAGTTAAAAAAGAAGTCCTTCAAGGTTGAACATTTTTCATTGCAAATGTAACATTGAACTCATGGTTGTGAAAGTGGACCCTAGTGTCATGGTGACTAACATAATTTTATCACAGAATCTGAACAAAATCTAGACTTAGAAATATTCCATGAAATTCTACAGCTGTTCTAATACCAGATGGCTCACCTTCGCCTTTTATTTCCAGTTATTTATTGTTAAAATGTTTTGCAAATTACTTTTGTTAGTGACCAAATGAATACACAAGTAAATGAAAAATTAGATTAGTGTTTTAAAACCGATGCCCTAACACATTTATTCATCGATTTAATAGATGTTCACTGAATATATTTCATGTTCAAACTCTATATCAGGGTGATGGCAGTGTGTTGAAGGGTTCAGGAGGAAGCAAAGGGAATAAGATAACAGTCCCTCTTGCTAGGTTCTTGCACCATAGTAGAGGGAATTAGAGTGGAACACAAAGAATTAAGTATGAGGCAGAATGTCAGATGTACTATGAGAAATGCACCCAAAATGCCAGGGTGGGGTTAGAGAAGGGTCATTCATATCCAGTTAGTGAGAGTAAAGAGACAATGCAGAATATCACATTTGAATTAGATCTCACAATGTTACCTGGGATATGATGAAAGAATGTAAATCATAGAGTAGTATGAAAAAGGATGTCAAATCAGAAAAGTGCAGGGTAATTCTATAGACCCTCAGAGAGTTTACATACCTACCCTATAAAATTCAGTGTGTAATTCCTCCGTAGAGAGGATCCCCAGCTTTCATCAAAATCACGAAGGACATATTTGGTTTTATTTGAACATTAAGATTATAGAGTGTCCTCTACATAAAATTCATGTTTTGCTTTTTGGTGAAACAACAACAGCAAAATTCACATAAGTTCATGTTTATGAACCCTGTAGTGCAGATCTTAGAATAGCAAGATATTTGAGTTATTTAATGTGCAACACTAATGTTACCCTATGAACAGTTAAGGTATATAATCAACAATAGCCAAAAAGGAAACATTTGCAACCCCTTCATTTTTAAATCAAGAAAAAGGGACTGTGAGAGGTGATGGGTGATCAAAATCACCCGGCTTATTATTAGATAGAAGTAAGGCTAATTTTTATAGAACCCTTCTTAAAAATATGTGAAGAATAGATTTGTATTTACTAGGCAGTCTGAAGTCATTAAACTGATTTTGGACAATGAATGTGTATAAATATGTCTGGCAGAACTCTTAGTTTTATTGGACAGGGCAGAACTAGACTCAAGAAGGCCAATTGAAAATATATTTCAATGGCTCAAATAGAACTAAATATGATCTAAATCAGAATGATGGCAGAGCAAATGAAAAGGAGGTAGTAGGTTCAAAACACTTAATGCTGGTGAACTCCGCAACATTTAGAATGGAATAGATATGGAATGGCAAAGAAGAGGCAGATACCCCAGATGACTTAGAGATTTCACTCTTGTAAACTGAGAGAAAATCTTTTTAAATTTTTTCAACTATAGTTT